CCATCCTGACCAACATGGTGAAACCCATCTCTGCTAAAAATATAAAAATTAGCCGGGCATTGGGGGGGGTGCCTGTAACCCCAGCTACTTGGGAAGCTGAGGTAGGAGAATCACTTGAACCCGGGAGGCGGAGGTTGCAGTGAGCCGAGATTACGTCACTGCATTCCAGCCTGAGTGACAGAGTGAAACTCCATCTCAAAAAAAAAAAAAAAAAAAAAGAAAAGTAGTTACTAATTTCTGGGGAAAAGCCCACAAAAAGTCATGCAGGCTCAGCTCTGTATAACATACTAATTTTCATAATAATTTTTATCTAACTAAAACTGTTATAATAATACTGGGTGATGAAAAGTAGGGATGTAAGTATCTGTGTTTATGGGAGATAAGGAAGAAAAAAGAGTTAAGTATTCATTTTTCTGGTAGGGGATTAACATGAATATAATCAAGAAAGCGAAAAGACAACCCAAAGAATGGGAGAAAATATCTGCAAATCATATATACAATAAGGGATTGGTATCCAAAACACATAAAGAACTCTTACAACTCAGAAATAAAAATACAAACAACCCAAGTTAAAATGGGCAAATAATATGAATAAATATTTCTCCAAGGAAGGTACAAATGGCCAATAAGCATATAAAAAGATACTCGACATTGTCAGTCATCATGGAAATGCATACCAAAACCATGAGACACCCAACAGGCTCACCAGAATCAAAAACTAAGATAATAACAAATCTTGGCAAAGATGTGGAGAAATTAGAACCCTCAAACACTGCTGGTGGGTACCTAAAATGATAAAGTCACTTTGCAAAACAATCTGGCAGTTCCTCAAATTATTAAACAGAGTTATCACATGACACAGCAATTCCATTCCTAGGTATATATCAATACAAATGAAAATGTATGTACCTAGAAAAACTTGCACACAAATATTCATAGCATTATTCATAATAGTCAAAAGTGAAAAAACCCTAAATATCCATCAACTGATAAATCAATAAACTAAATGTGTTATATCCATACAATGTAATATTATTTGTCCATAAAGAGAATAAAGTATTGATAAATGCTACAACATGAAACTTGAAAACGTTATGCTAAGTTAAAAAATCCAGTCACAAAAGACTACCTGTACATATTAAAATGTTCCATTTATATAAAATGTACAGGATAGGTAAATCTGTAGAGACAGACAATAGATTAGTGGTTATCTAAGGCTGGGGAAAGGGGGTTAGAAGGAATGGGAAGTTATTGCTAGTAGGTGCAGGATTGCTTCTGGGGATGATTAAAATGTTCTAAAATTGACTGTGGTGATAGTTGTACAACTCTGTGAATGCACTAAAGACAATTAAATTGTAGGCTTTGAATGCATGAATTGTAATCTATGTAATCCCATCTCAATAAAGCTGTCTTATTTTTAAAAATGAATTGTGAAATATATGTAGAAGTTAAACCTATTACAATAATAGCATAATTGTAGGGAAGAGGGAAATGATGGTATACTAGTGCAAGGCTCTTATATCATATGTAAAGTATTATGATATTATTTAAAAGTGGACTGAGGCTGTGTCTGATGAGTTCACACCTATAATCCCAACATTTTGGAAGGCCTAGGCAGGTGGATTGCTTGGGGTCAGGAGTTTGAGACCAGCCTGGCCAACATGGTGGAACGCCATCTCTACTAAAAATACAAAAGTTAGCATGGCATGGTGACATGCCTGTAGTCCCAGCTACTAGGGAGGCTGAGGCACAAGAATCACTTAAAGCTGGGAGACAGAGGTGGCAGTGACCCGAGGTGGTGCCACTGCACTCTAGCCTGGGTGACAGAGCAAGACTCTGTCTTAAAAAATAAAATAAAAAATAAACAAAAATGGACTGAATTCACCTAAAGATGTATTCTACAAACCCTAAATCAATAATTAAGCTAATAAAGGCAATGAGTTATATCTAATAAGCCAACAAAGGAAATGAGATGGAATCATAAAAAATAATACAAAAGAAGGCAGAAAAAAAGAAAAAAGGGAGCAAACAGATGAGAAAAAAAGGCATATTTAAATAAAACGTATCAATAATCTTATTAAGCAATAAATAAAAGTAATAAATAAATGTAATAAATACCTCAATTAAAAGTAAGGTATTCTCTGATTGCATGCAAAAAGTTAAGATCTAACTATATCTCACCTACAAAAAACCTTCTTTAAATGTAAAGACAAAAATAAGTTAAAAGCAAAAGGATGGTAAAGATATGCCATGCCAACACTAACCAAAAGAAAGCCAGAGTGGCTATATTAATATTAGACACAGTAGATTTCATAGCAAAAATATTACTAGGGATAAAAAGGGTCATTTCATAATGATAACAGTCTCAATTTATAGAGGACATAGCAATCTTAAATGTGTATGAACCTAATAACAAAGATTCCAAACGCATTAGATAAAAACTGATAAAACTGCAAGGAAAAATAGATAAATCCACAATTACATTTAGAGATTTTGACACTCCTTTCTTAATAACTGATAGAACAAAAAGAACAACAACAACAACAACAAAAATGTAAAACACCTTAGGGATATAGGAGATTTGAAGAACACTACCACACAACTTGAACAAACTGACATTTATGGAACGCTCCAACAAACAACAGTAAAATACACATGGTTTTCAAGTTCACATGGAACATTTACTAAGATTAACTCTATTTTGGGCCATAAAAACAATGTCAATAAAGCTAAATGGATCTAATACATGTTCTGTGACCACTGGGGAATTAAGTTAGAAACCAGTAACAAAAAGGTATTTGGAAAATCCCCAAATACTGTAAATAAAATAACATACCTCTAAAAACCCGTACATCAAAGAATTTTTAAAAATAAATTAGAACGTGTTTTGACCTTTTGGAATGAAAAAGAATTCACAACATATCTAACATTGTGGAATACAGCTAAAGCATTGCTCAGAGAGAAATTTATAGTACTAAAATATTTATATTAGAAGGAAAACAGGTCTCAAATCAATGACTTCAGCTTCCTCCTTTACAACCTCAAAAAAGAACAGTAGGCACAGAGTAAGCAGAAAAAAGAGTGATAAAACCAGAAATCAGTGAAATAGAGAACACGAGAAAAAAGAGAAACCAATGAAATAGAAAGTTGGTTCCTTGAGAATACCAATAAAATTGATAACGTCGAGCCAGGCTGATTAAGAAAAACAGAGAACATATTAAAGTTATCAACATCAGGAATGAGAGAGTATATCACTGCCAATTTTACAGATATAAGAAGGGTATTATGAGACAGTTTATGCTGACAAATTGAAAAGTTGGGTGAAATGAAAAATTCTTTGAAAGACACAAGCTACCAAAGCTCATTCAAGAAGAAACTGATAACCTGAAGAGCACTATGCCTATTTAATAAGTGGAATTTATAGTTAAAAACTTTCCTACCAAAAAAATTTCAGGCTTTAATGGCTTCATTTGTGAATTCCACCAAATATGTAAGGAAGAAATAATACCAGTTCTATGTAAACTCTACCAGAAAATTAAAGAGGAAAGGATACTTCCAAACTTATTTTATGAGGGCTGCTAATTTAATTCCAAACATCAGTTGTTTTAGGTTATTTTCCATTTGTAAATATTGACGTATAAGCAGCTTCAATTATTTAAGGAAACTCAGTTCTGTGCCTGCCCAACAGCTAAAGCTTTTCAGTCTAGTGATGCTTTTATTATAAATGAACTGTAAGAGTATTTTCTTTATAATACAAAAAGGCTTCCCAAACATAGATTAGCTTTCAATGGATTTACAAATGTCATCAAATTATAAATTAATTTTTACTGATGTGCAAGACTTCTTTTCTTTTTACGCATATGGGCAAAAATATACCTGTATTTCATTATAGTAAATATTCTTCCGTTCATCATAAACGGAAGAATGAAAGCTATTACTTTCTTTACAGAATGTACCCGTAAGCACTATTTAAATTTGAAAAATATCCAGTAAAGGTGTTGTTTCATTCTTAAAGGTTAAGAATATTTGAAGACTTGGTCAAGCGTGGTGGCTCACACCTGTAATCCCAGCACTTTGGGAGGCCGAGGTGGGCAGATCACTTGAGGTCAGGAGTTCAAGATCAGCCTGACCAACATGGTGAAACTCCATCTCTACTAAAAATACAAAAATTAGCCAGGCATGGTGGTGGGTGCCTGTAATCCCAGCTACTTGGGAGGCTGAGGCAAGAGAATTGTTTGAACCTGAGAGACAGAGGTTGCAGTGAGTCAAAATCATACCACTGCACTCCAGCGTTGGTGACAGAGAGAAACTCCATCTCAAAAATAATAATAATAGTATTTGAAGACTAATCAAACTTCACATAGTGATCACTTTTAAGAAGAATCTAAACTCTTCAGCTTTAATATATTTTAGTTATTTATTAGGCAAATATTATTATAGTCTAAGACTTTTGAAAATGATATATAACTCCTTAATATTTGATCAGTAAAAATAGGCCAATTCCTTAACTATCTAAAAAACAATTCTTTTTTTTTTTTGAGACGAGGCCTCACTATGTTGCCCAGGCTGGAGTGCAGTGATGCGAACACAGCTCATTGCAGCCTTGACCTCCCAAGGCTCAAGTTATCCTCCCACCTCAGCTTCCCCAGTAGCTGGGATTACAGGCATGCAACATCATGCCCAGCCAATTTTTTGATTTTTTGTAGAGATGGGGTCTCATTTTCTTGCCCAGGCTTGTCTTGAACTGCCTTGACCTCCCAAAGTGTTGGGATTATAGGCATGAGCCACCATGCCTGACTGAAATTTTAGATTTCACTATAACATACAGGAAAATACATTAGGAAAAAAGTTTCCTCTACAATTGCATAAAATACTCCAGATATCAATAATGAAGGACTTTCCCAAAACATTTTGATATTTTCCAATTGTTACATTACATTAAGACAAGTTCCATCATATAATGTATAATAATATAATACAAAATGTATACAAAAACATACCGTGTCTTGCTTTGGAATTTGGACTAAAACAGAAAGAAGCTGCTCTGTATCAAGAAATCTTGATATAACTGAAACAAACAAACAAATGTGAGTATTTAAACTTTATGGTACAGTTGAAAATATTGACTATGTAAAATACTATCCTCAAAGAATAAAATAGAACAGTTCTACCTGCAAATATTACCTGTTTTGTCTTCTTTATCTTACGTGTAAAATGAATATAACTAAATTCTAATGTCCTTTTGTTACTTTTGAGTACTTAATCTCACCTCAAAATTTAATGCTGCTAACCATCCCTTCTGCTGTGGTTTGCCTGTCCCCACCAAAACTCATGTTGAAACTTTAATTCCTAGTGTGGCAATATTGGGAGATAAAACATTTAATAGGTGGGGTCTAGTGGAAAAACATTTGGGTCACAGAGGCTCCACTCTCACAGGCAGCTTAGTGCCATTCCTACTGAGATGAGTGAGTTAACCCCTTAATAAAACTGGATTAGTTTACACAGAAAGGGACTAGTTTCACACAAGAACAGGTTGTTATAAAGTGAGGATGCCCCTCATTTTGCTCTCTGCATATGTCTATTTCCTCCTTGACTGTCCTCCATGTTATGATGCATGATGAAAGCCCTGACCAGAGGCTGAGTAGATGCCAATGCCATACTCTTAGACTTTCCAGTCACTGGAATTGTGACCCAAATAAACTCGTTTCTTTGTAAATTACCCAGCCTCAGGTATTCCATTATAGCAACACGACTTACCTTCCTTCTTGAAACTCTACTTCTCTGGTTTTGATATTGTCTATCATAATTTTCTTCTCACCTTTTTGATCTCTACTTTTCTTCATGATACTTAAAAGATGCTTGGTTTAAAAGTATAGTTCAATCACTAACCACATAACCTTCCCAAGAGTTACCTAACTCCTGTAAACAATAGCTGTTCTCATCTTTTAAATGCTGTTAACATCTACCTCCCAGGGTGTGTTGTGAGAATTAAGTGAGGCAATACCTGTGCTATGGTTTGAATATGCCCCCCAAAGTTCATGTGTTGGAAACTTGATCCCCAATGCAACAGTCTTGAGAGGTGGGATCTTTAAGAGATGGTTAAGCCAC